AGATTTAACTGGAGGTCATGATTAAGGGTCATTCGGTACTTGATATGATAACGATCTCTCGCTTTTTTTTCAAATCTGTGGTGAAAGTGTCAAATGTGGGGAATACAAATCGTCAAACTTTCATTTATATTCCGTGCGTTCCGTAATTATTTTGTGACCCTCTCATCCCTGCACTGTTCTTACAACCTACGTATGGATGGCTCCTGCAATGACCCGTCCATAGTCATGGTAAGAAATCATCTGCATTGGTATTTTAATATTCGAATGAAAGGTTGAAAATCCATACGAAACGTCGGAAATATTTTTTTTTTTCAAATGTCACTTTTGAATTTCTGTTTCATGTCATTTTAATTTCCGGACATGGTGGAGCAAGTACAGTAATATACAGTAATGTATGTACAGTATATATAAAATTCCGAAATGAATTTTCCAAGCCACTTGTTCTCCACCCATACACATGAATTTTGAAACTGTGATATAAATTTTGACTTATTTAGGCAAAGTCAGCCACAAAAATTTAAAAACTGATTTATAAATAAAAGAACTTCTAAACTTCCTTTACAAAGTCTACCATGCCTGGAAGTACAATTAGTAAATCATTTTGAATTGATTTTTCAAGACACTTGTTTTCTACCCATATGTTTGCAGGAATTTTAAAATGTTGATGGTTTTTCGAGGCAAATTCAGCCAAAATAATTTTTAAAAAACAGACTGTAAATGAACTAATAACTTCTGAATCTCTCCAAGAAAGTCTAGCCTGCATGGAAAGTCAAAAATTAATTTCTAAATGGATTTTCCAAGCCTCTTGTTCTTCACCAGTTCATGAGGATATTGAAACTTTCAATTCTATTTTATTTTTCTGAGTAAATTCAGCCACAAGTATTAAAAAAAGATTTAATAAATGAAATGACAGCCTCTAAAATTCTTTCAGAATGTCTAACATGCTTGGAAATATAAATTAATTTTAAAAAATTCAAACCACTAAGCCACTCATTTTGCACCCATTCATCTGAATTTTTAAAGTTTGATATAAATGTGAAGGTTCCCAAGAAAATCCGCTCAGAAAATTGATACAACAAAAAATTCCCCGTGATGGAATTTCCCCGTTACATGGAATTGCAAAAGCTCAAAAAATGCTCAAGAACACTGAACATATGAGATAATCAAATACTGTACATCAAAACATGCGTATATGTATAAATTCTCATGCAATCTGGGTGTGATTTCTGTAGCAGTCATATATAATTTTCTTTTTTACTCATATTTATTTTAGTATGGATGCTGAGGTAAGACAAGCAAACATACAATACATGTGCACATCATTTTGTGGTATGTATTGCTAAGAAACAATTCTGATGAAACTTTGTAGAGCCTTTGCAATGATAGGCAATTTTTTTTATTTCTGGAGGAAATGTAGCTCAGACAAGAAATCCCATCTATGCAAGGTATGCATAAAATTCCAAAACAAATTGTGCCATGCATTCCAATTACGCATTAAATTATACTGTATTTCCTTGGCAGTGGGAAGACTTCCTACACCCCCATTAGTCACTATGAAATATTGCACAGAAATACTGGGTATTTTTGAAGTCGCTCATTATAATTCTGTTGGAGGAGCAAAAATGGCCTTGGGATAGGATAGACCGGTAAGCCAGCAGCGCCCAAGGAAACGGCGCTAAAACCCGCGGCGACATTCGAGACCGCCACGAGGTTAGTATCCGGTGTTCACCACTTATTTCGCCTGATGCAATGCGTGTCCGCCCAGTCCCTTCTGTACTAGATATCGGGCGCTCTTCGGGAACCTTCCTGAACTTTCTGTGGATAGCGGGTTTATTCCACCGCGCGTGTCGCAATAATATGCCTCCCTGTGGCCCTGAGGATGCTGGGGTAAGGGCGAGGCTTTTCGTCAGTGTTACTTTGACTACTAGCGAGGAGTGTCGTGATTTTGCATTGCAGTTTTGCTCAAAACAATAAAGAAAAAATGGTGAATCAGGAAGAGCTAACGACTTGCCCCAGGCGGCTAAGGACTATCGAGCAGCTTGCACGGTTGCCCTACGCAGCTAACATCATTGGCGCGGTAGAAGGAACGGATTCATATTTGAAGGTGAGAAGCAACTTATAAAATACTATTTTCAGAATTTAAACAAAAGTCATTGAATGTGTTCATGGACTTTTGGGAATTTATTTATGACGATGATGCGATGGACATTTAGTTACTGTGTGAATGAAATCGGGACGTTATTCGATTGAGATTCCCGATTTAATGTCTAAATGTTTTCTTGTCTTCGCGTATCGTTCCTTCTCGAACTTTCCACCTTCATGTATTTTCTGGAATATAATCTGTATCTTCTCATTTTTTTGCAGGAAGCTAAGATTCCGATCTTCTCGAGTGCATTGGGAGCTTATGAAGCTGTGATCAAATGGATTGCTTGTTTGCCTATCATTTCCACCATGATCAATGTGAGCGACTGGATGGTTGCTTTCTATTTGGAAACTGTGTTTTTCATCGTCATCAAGATTGGGTCTATCTTCATACAGTCCAAAAGGAAACTTGGTGAGGATATTTTGAATAGAATTCGTCTTCATATCTTTGTCATACAGTCGAATTTCGAAAGACCAGCTAAAAAGAATCGAGTCAGGGAAACGGGAATTTCGTTTCCAGGAAATTGTCGTTGGTATTTTGGTGATATTCCAGACCTTCGTAAATTAGTTGTGACAGGATGCTGAAATTGGAAGCGAGGGTTTATTTGTTCAACGAGTTTTTCACTTCCTTTCGAAATGCATAGATTTAAAATCTCCATCGCTTTTCTCTTTGCCGTGTTGATAAAATCAGCCAGAAAACCTCCAGAGAATCCAAAATGTGGAGGTTTGACGTTAAAGAAAACCTTTCAGTCGTCGGGGAGGTTTTGAAAGCAATTTTTTTAAAGGAATTTCGGAGAGGGAATTGAGAAAAATCGACGCACGGAGATTCGAAATTTCTAGGTTCAAATGTATATTTTATTTTTTGCTTTGCTTGAACAGGTGAACTCACGGAACCCGAGAGCTTGGGTAGACTAGTTCCCCCCGTAATAAAGGATTCTCGNTCGTTCCTGGGACACCCCCCCCCCCCCCTTCCTCCAGTGTCGTCAAGTCTGCAATTGGTTCGTACATATGAGACTGGATGTCTATGATGCATGTTGATGTAATTTCTGAGTTTTGATTGATTTTCTAGTACAATTTCGAACAGTAATGCAAATTTTAGGCAATTTTTAATAGGATTAAAAATGAGTTCGAGAATCGGATTCATGAAATACTATTTTAAGATTAGCGAGATTTCCTGTTGGGAAGGTTACACACAGTATCCCAATGCATGGCGTCGTCTGAAGGGCGCGTGGATCTCATGGTAATGGTAAATTGCATGTACTTGAGACTCTTCGTGAAGAAAGGAAAGTTCTTCGTCGAATTAATAATTTTAACTGTGAATTTTTTAGGGATCAAATATGTTAATCTCTCTTCAAAAATTTTTTCCTTAATCTGGAAGCGAACGATAGCTTGACAGCATTTTCGAAAGAGTCGCAGCGACATCTAGAGAATGAACCATTAATCGTACAAAGTATTTGTCTACTTTTTCACAGATGTCGTTCCATGATGCAAAGCGTAGTGTCGCGTTCCATAACGCGAATTCGAGATATGGGAACGGATACTGGATGTACTAGCTTATATTTCAACGATGACGTAATTAGCTTTAATAGTTTGACTTCGAAGGTCAGCAGCAGTTTTGCCAAGTATGACGATGTTTCACTCATATGACTATGCAAATGGGCAAAATGTTCATTATTCCGGCCCTCGGAATCATTACTCGAGTATACCACGCATCCGCTCTGAGTAGATTGTTTTGGTATGGAATTTGCAAAAAAAATTCCTCTGGTGCACATAAGGCACGCACCCAAGTTTTCACTGGTTTTGAAACCAGATTTTAAAATATTTACGTTAAAAAAATTCTTTAGATATAATAACATGGAGAATTTTCGGAGAAGGATTGAGGCCAATACAATTCACCTTAAATTTTCACTCATAGATGAGAATCACTTTTGGGTTGCACCACTCCATTGATAATTTCTTTGGTTTATTAAAATGGATGCATGCACACCATATTTCTGCCCCCCATTTTTCTGCTTTAAATTTGCAGGAAAAATGTGCTGGTGGTACTCAATCGAATATGATATGTCAGCATTTATTGCTCTCATTTTTCATCTGTGCTATATCCTTCATAGACACAGATTTCATGTTTCTCACATCCCAGAGAACTCTGTTGGGGAATCAAAAAATTCCTATTCGAACCCTGTCCATCCCAATATTCTGAGGATGACTGCATACCTATCCCTTGATGGGAATGATTTATCACATTGGTTCCCTCAACAAGGGGTAAAGCAATGTACAGTATGAATGCTCATATACACCAGACTGTGACTCAAGATCAGGACACAAGAGACCCCATCTGTCAGCCCGCGAAAACAAGAAGGAAAACAGCCTGCGATGGTACAGTACAGTACGATGTGGCATGGTAAAATTACAGGCGCCGGCACACGCGCCAGCCACTATGGGGCGGTCGACGGCCCCGCAGGGAACCAACACCGACAGTGGTGTCGCATATATAGGCACTACAGCCA